CTTCCAGGGTCAATAAGTAAAATAGCAGAAATCCAAAACCAACATTTAATTCTTGAGCCCAGCTGAAGAGGGCAAGTCACTTCACAATGCTTTTTCAGCATGTCTGATTTGGGGGGGGGGGGGTAAACTCTAAATAATAGTGGTGAATCTTTTATTGAAACAGTCTGGTCAAAGCGGATAGTGTTAACTGGAGTTCATCTGCCTCGCAGGGACGGGGAGGGGTGGGGGGTGGGGTTTTATTGGGGTTCTTCATGGGAAAGGATGAGTATTGGTAAAGGGAAATGTGTTTGATATTTGCATGACTGAGACATAAACCTGAGGGCTTTGTAACCTTTCCCACAGTGATTCAATAAATAAATAAAAAAAAAAAAAAAAAAAAAAAAAAAAAAAAAAAAGAATGGCCATAGATGGAAAGTTCTACTATTCACATTTGTTTATTCAACCTGTTTTTATTTTTGTTTTGTTTTTATATTTCTACCCAATAATTGCAATATGTAAATGGAGAATTTTTTTGCCAATTTTGCTCAAAGGCAATGGAAATCTTCTGAAGATATTTCTTTGTTATAATATGCCAGTTTTCATGCATCCCTCGTAGAAAAAATGCTATCCCACAATAAGCCATTTTTAAAGTCGAGTACAAAGTTTTTCTAAGCAGTTGCTGAAATGCTCAAATATCAAGAGGATGACTTAACTCTTATAATACAGGTTAGTGTGTCATCTTGAACCAGAAAAAATTAATCTAGGTCTTCTCAAAACACAGAGAAACATGTCTGATATGTATTTACAAAATCACCAACAAATCATCAACTGAAATATATGTCCTTATTTAGTTTTGGGAGCATCTATTTTATCAACTTGTGTCCAAGTATTTTAATGATTTCCAATATTTTTAATTCTGTTTACTACTTTTTTATATGTTATATCAGGGATCAAATATAGAGTCTCACACATACATGAGCTCTGCAATTGAGCCATATTCCTGGCTTCTCACATGCTCACAGGAATATATTTTATAAGTAGCTATTTCAATATTTTCTATTCATGAAGATTAAATTCTAAGATTAAATTTTGTCACTATTTTTAAATTAAAGCATCTGGCATCTTTACATTTGAAATAGTCCCTTATCATATGTCAATTTCTGCTTTTATTATCACTATCACTATCATCACATTGTTTATCACTTTGCTCTAACAGGCACCAGTAATGTCTCCATTCGTCCCTGTCACGTGCCAGAGTAACCCAATGGCCATTTGGGGGCTATTTCAGGGTCAGGGAAGTGAGGACTCATTGTTACTGGTTTTGGCATATCAAGTACGCCACCGGTAGCTTGACAGGCTCTGCCGTGCGGGTGGGATACTCTTGGTAGCTTGCCAGGCTCTCTGAGAGGGATGGAGGCTTTTGGCAGCCTCTAATCACCTTTACAGGTGTTCCCAGTCAGGCATATATGCGGACAAGATACTCTTGGTAGCCTGCCGGGTTCTCTGAGAGCGAGAACTAGACAATAAGAGGTCGCACAAATGCTCTTCTGGAGCTTGGTTTTATAGTCTCTGGATCTTGGCCATTGATAGGGTTACATGGCAGTTGGTGGGTGTAACTGTCTAGCTACTAGAAGATAGGGGATATGGGTGGAGGAGGCCCAGTCCCAAACCAAGAAGGCTTGGAGATCTCAACCCTGGGTCCCACACACTTGGGTTCCTCTGCCGGTTCCTTCATGCATGAGGCTCGTCTGAGCATGTGGAGAGTGGTCTTAGCATGACTGTGGCTGGGTCCTGGAGGTCTTCCAAGAGATTTAGTCCAGGAAGTACCCAAGGAAAGTCATCAAAGATAAGGCACATAAAATAAATGGTACTATGAACCACAGAGCTAGCTATCTCAACTTATTTTATTTTAATTAGCAAAATAGAAATGATTTAATTCATCTCCTCAGAAAATTCACAGTACCTTATTGGAGAAATCAATAGTATCTTGTACCTTATTTTTCTCCTGACTCTTCGATGTGCTGTCTGCTTCCCAAAACATGAGTTGGTATCAGAGTACGAGTGAGAAAAGGTTAGCCCTAACTTCCGGCAGAGGAATGACTTTCCCAAACTTCCAGCAGCAGAGTTCTCAGCATATGCTCTAGACTTTGGTATCAACAAGTTTAGGATACACACTCAAATGCAGTGTGCCACCAGATAACTCCTCTCTGTCAAGGACTTGTATCTTCTTGCCAGGAACCTCTAGTTCTACTCTGCCCTCCAAGACCAGGGAACCCTAGAAGGGTGGATTTAACAGAAGTAAAAGAATTAGATGTGGGAAATTCGCAGGAAAACTTGTTCCTCACTCTTGCTGGATGCTCTGGCATTCAAACCAAGTAGGATTTGTCTAACTTGAATACTCAGGAAAGCTCTGCTAGCATCTCAACTGTCTGCTTCTCATGTAACGTAGTGAGTCTCCTAATAGGAGAGATCCACGCCATTCAAACTAATGGACTCAGGTCTCTAAGGATGCAAAAACCCACACTTAATAGAATGGTTTTTCTATTAGAACTTGAAGAATTAATTTGCACATAGACCTGAATTTTATTCATTTTAGTAATTTTCTGTCCAGTTTTTCCATTTAGAAATAGCTCTTTTGTCAAAGTGAGAAATATGAAATATATGAGGTGGGTGTAGATGTGGGGCTGGAGCGATAGCACAGCGGGTAGGTCATTTGCCTTGCATGTGGCCGGCCTGACCGACTGGCGTTCGATTCCTCTGCTCCTCTCGGAGAGCTCAGCAAGCTACTGAGAGTATCTCACCCGCAAGGCAAAACCTGGCAAGCTACCTGTGACGTATTCAATATGCCAAACACAGTAACAAGTGTCACAATGGATATGTTACTGGGCCCACTTGAGCAAATCGATGAAAAACGGGAGTGACAGTGACAGTGGGTGTAGATGTGAATAGTCCAAGCCAATAAAAATTAAACAGGACAATTAAAGTTTGATCTTAATATAGATCAGCATTTCCCATGATGGGTGATACTGCTCCATGGGGACACTGCAACATTCATCTAAAGAAATTAAATATCCAGGGGACACCAAGTAATTATTTTCCTGAAAAGATGATAGATCAAATAAGTTTGGGAATCTCTGCAGATCAACTAAAACTTCAGTTCTATCACTTGTCTGACAGAATTAGATGCACACACCCAAACCCCTTACACTTTATTGAAGAACATCTTTCAAAAGCGTTTGTACTAGGGCTTGATGGCTCCAGGTTGAAATACAACAATCTTCACATGCTTCCCTCTAAGAAAACTTTATTGAACCATTTTTAGCACATTATTCATAATAAGCAATACAAAATTATTTCAATTCTGCTTTGGGGGGCATGGTTTGGGATTTGGGGTGGAAACACTTGAAATATGGTGGTGGGATTGGTGTTTTAATACTAAATGTAATGAATTTGAATTATTGTGAACAACTTTATAAAAATTAAATTAATTTTTTTAAAAGTGTTTGTACTTTAGAATGGGCTGGAGCGATAGCACAGTGGTAGGGCATTTGCTTTGCACGCAGTCAACATGGCCCACCTGAGTTTGATTCCTCCACCCCTCTCAGAGAGCCTGGCAAGCTACCGAGAGTATCTCGCCTGCATGGCAGAGCCTGGCAAGCTACCCGTGATGTATTCGATATGCCAAACACAGTAACAACAAAGTCTCCAATGGAGATGTTACTGGGCCCACTCGAGCAAATCAATGAACAACGGGAGGACAGTGACAGTGACTTTAGAATAAGCTCTTTTGCTTACTCAGTAGTATAAACTACAACTCTGTCCATGAATTCAAAGGAAAAATGTGTTCTTAAAAGGGAATACCCTGCCACAGAGGCAGGGTGGGATAGGGGGATGGGGAGTGGGAGGGATACTAGGACCCGTGGTGGTGGAAAATGGGCACTGGTGAAGGGATGGGTATTTGATCATTGTATAATTGCAATCCAAGCAAAAAAATTGTAAGTCTACAACTGTACCACATGGTGTTTCACTAATAAAAATCAAAAAAAAAAAATTAAGTAAAAAAAAAAGAAAAATGTGTTCTTGTTCGGAGAAAATTTTTGTTTTGAGGTTCACCCAAAAATCATCTAAATACAACTATAAAGTCAACTTTAATTTATATCATATAAGCTTTTAAATAAATAGGATTTAGAGTTGTGGCCTGCAAGCTTGGTTTTAGTATATACTTACTGTGAAATTCTGGGACTGTGATTTTTAACCTGTTCAAAGCAGGCTATGTTCACCCATCAGTGACAATACTGAGTACCTACTTCATGAGGTTGTGGAAGAGACAGGATATGGAATACACTCTCCAGCACCTTTATTATATTGCTCACAATAAGTGTTCTTTGTTCTCATTAATTCCTACAACATAGAAATACAGTTGCCAAGAATTAACTACCATATCCAGAAAGATCCTAGTATGTAACACTACACTCTTCAGAATATTATATAAGGTCGTTAACCCTGGAATGAAGTAAAGAAAAACTATACATAATGAAACCCCAGAACAATAAGCTATAGGGAAAATTTGACAGACAACCTGAAATTTTCTTTTCCCCAAGTATTTTTGCTTGGAGAACTATGTAAGCTGGTCATGGCATCTCAAGATTCATAAACAAGAATTACACTAAATCTCTAAAGGCAGTTAATAATATATTTAATTACTAAATGATTGTATTAGCATGATTTATTTGCACTACTCAATTTTCTCAAAGAAATGAAAGCAAACACAAGATTTTCCAGAAAACCATTTTGCTTGGCTATATGCCAAAAATATGTTGATACTCTAATCACACTATAGCTCCTTCATCTCAGATTGAGAATTTTTTAGATTCTTTTTGGGCCAGTTCTTCAATATAAGGGGTAGAACTGTACATATGTAAGGTATAAAGTAATTCCTCAATCTATGAAGACACAAAATTCTAGTCATTTGTTTCAAGAAAATAACAAACTATTGTCTGGGTTCTTTCTTTTTTGTGTAGGGTTTCTTTAGAAGAACCATTCAGAAAAATCTGCATCCATCCTATTCCTGTAAATATGAAGGAAAATGTGTCATAGACAAAGTCACAAGAAATCAGTGCCAGGAATGTCGCTTTAAAAAATGCATCTATGTTGGCATGGCAACAGATTGTAAGTAATCTTCTCCCTTTGCTTTATATTCGGGGAATGTTGATTGGGGAAAGGTTTGGTTCAAGGAGATCAACCACACTAGTTGAAAGCAGGCACGCATGTGGACAGAGCACAGATACCTTGCATAGCTATAGACCCCTCAGTCCCAGCAGAGGCTGGGTAATTTTCCTTCTCTTCCTCCATCTCCTCCCTGTCTCCCATCAACTTCTAAATGTAATGTTATGCAGTGATCTAGATACGGGTGAGGGAAAACAATTTATTTACCCCAATCATCTTTGCAGAGCAATACTCTGTTTTCAACAAAGATTATAAACGAGAGGTTTTGTCTATATACCTTGAATGATACAATTTCACACACAACATTCCTGTCTTAAGAGCTTCAACTTATCCTTTGTTTTTTCATAAGCAGAGATAGGAGTTTATCTTGGTGAACATTTTTGGAAATGGTGCACTGGAAGAAAATATTGCGTTCCTAAATTTCTGAAGAATATGAAGTTGAGCTATTGCATGAGTCATCCTGCAGTTGGTTGTTTGTTATATTTTTAACCATAAAAACATGCCAGGTTAAAGTTATTCTCCCCAGTTTTGCAACTGCCTTAGCATATGGTGGTGAGATTAGCACTTGGGGTCTCCTCCTCCCCACACTCTGCAAGGGATTTACACCCATACCCGTCACCTTAATTAAGCTAATAATAAATAAGAATCATGTTCAGAAAGCTATGGCCTCCCTTTTGCTGAGTATTCATGTTAATGGCTTCTACTGCCATGCTATTTTGAACCTCAAAGAGTGATTTCAACTTTTAGTTTTAAAAGGAAAAAAAAGAAAGGAAAAAAGAATGCATTGAGAATGTTTACTTCTTCATGACAGAGTATTCACAACTATTATTTATGCGATAAGCAGGTTCTATTAAAGTTTCAAAAATCTACAGTGTGCTGATTTGCCCATTAAAGAATGCATAATGAAGAAACTTTTAAAAGGAGAAGGATTGTGTTAGGGTGATAAGCCAACACTGAAATCCTGGATCCACACATCCTCCCCTTCCCCTCCCCCCTTTGGTAAAGTGTTTTCTTTTAAAATCTTTAGCATGGGGGCTGGAGCAATAGTACAGCGGGTAGGTGCCATACATTTGCGGCCAACCCGGGTTTGATTTGCAGCATCCCATATGGTCCCCTGAGCACTGCCAGGAGTAATTCCTGAGTAAAGAGCCAGGAGTAACCCCTGTGCATCCCCAGGTGTGACCCAAAAAGAAAAAAAAAGTCTTTAGCCCTTATCAACAGTATGCCTAATCTGCATATGTAAAAATGATTGACAGAATCAAGTTCTTATGTGGGTCACTAAAATGAGCTGTTATTATTGAATATCCATTTCATTGAAAAGTTAAAGATATGAGTATGGAAGAGGTTAAAATAAATCAGTCCTTTTATCTAGATCATGTGTCAAGAAATTTTAAGTGGACCTTCTGCTTCTGTGATTGTGATTATGCTCATCATTATATGAGCTCGTTTCATCATCAGAAAGACCTGCTGGAATCCCAGATCTGTCACTTGCTAGCTGTGTGGACTTACCCTTGGGTTTCCCCTCTGTGTTTCATTGCTTATGTTGTAGGTTATTTTTAGGATTAAATCAGATCATGTACATCAAGAACAATTGCAAGGAATCTTGCAAAGAAGAATTTGGGGATTAAATAAAACCCATTTGTCCTCTCCTTTCAATAAATGAGCCACCATTACTTATTAGTACTCATTCATACTTCCTATAAGGCCAGGTAAATAGGTAAGAAGCAAGGGCACCTCGAGGATTAATAAATCAAGACAGACATAATTGAGAAAAGCATGGGATCAAGAGGCTCTCAGCCTCATGGACTGAGACCCCCATTCTCTACCACATTCCATTTGTATTGCCTTAAACAACAATCAACAGAAGAACAAAGACATTCATACATTTGCCATGAACTTGCCCTGTGATTTAAGGCAAATCACAATCTCTCTGGATCAACTTTCTCCTTTGTGAAAGGAGGGGATTGGGTGAGAAAATATCTTAGATCCCTTCCAGTCCAAAATATTAGAATTTAACGGTTTAACACATGAGCCTTTCTATTCCACTGAGAATTATTAAAAAATCTAATGAAGTGGTTTTGTCTCAAGAATTAGCCACAATGTATAGGGTTTTTTGTTACTTGCTCTAATTTCCCTTTTGCACAAATCATTATGTCATAACTACATTGACCCAGCACTTGTAGTGCATTATCACATTGAACACCCAAGTATTTTTATTTCATTTTATTCCGGAACAAATGAATGTCCTGAGAACCTAAACAACTTGTGAGAGGCCACACACTTACAATGTGGCAGTACAAAATCAGGCATGTCTAGATTCCAAAGCCTGAGCTCCTTTTCATAAGTGAGCCACCACTGAGGGTTGAGCAAGGAGATGATAATGGGGTTTGTGTACCTCTGAAATCCAAAATAGGCCCAGCCTCATTCCAGTTAGCCTTCAAGAGGGCTAATAAAGAGCTGGGGTCCTTTTTCCTCTGAGGAAGGGATCACTAGCCTACCATTTACATCTCAGAACGTTTTTAACCTAAATATTTCACTGAAAGTTCTTTTAGTATGAAACAGAAGTCCTACGAGTAATTTAAGAGATTGGCTACTCAAGCTTAACTACGAAGTCCTGGGGGGGATGTAAATCTTACCTCTTTGCTATGTTGTTATTTAAAGCAACCTTCTGTGCAATTGTCTTTGTATTGCTGTCCAGCAACCCCAGGTCTTTGTTTGAAAAGTTGGCCCTGGTATTGAGTGTTTGAGACTCAAGTGGGACAATGGCCAGTCAATGGCAGTTTTCTGGCAAGAAAAGAAAGTGCCCTGGAGGGCACGCTGAGCCATCAGTGTTCCTTGGGTCCTATCCCTGAGACTGTGGGGCTTGTCCTTGCCATTTGTCTGGGAGCTTTGTCTCACTGTGTGCTTTGTCTCACTCTCTCCCTCTCCCAGTGGTACTGGATGACAGCAAGCGGCTGGCAAAGAGGAAACTCATAGAGGAGAACCGAGAAAAGAGACGGCGGGAAGAGCTGCAAAAATCCATTGGGCATAAGCCAGAGCCTACAGACGAGGAGTGGGAACTCATCAAAACTGTCACTGAAGCCCATATGGCCACCAATGCCCAAGGCAGCCACTGGAAGCAGAAGCGGAAATTCCTGGTAAGGCTCCTAGGCGCTGCTGCCGGTCTGGGCTCATTCATTCCTCCTGACCTGGGCTACTGCTGTGATTGACCCATTTTACTGAATGGGAAATTGTGCCTCTGAAAACTTGGAGAGCTCAAGTTTGTTTTTTGGTTTTGGGTTTAATGGGGGACAGAGACAAAGGGGCTTCTCAAGCAGTGCTCAGGGGTCATTCCCCACAATACTCAGTAAGGCCAGGAGTTCAGTGCTAGAGCCCCAGGGTGCTTTGCTCAAACAGTGCACTGTCCGGTACCATCTGGGCAAACCCAGAAGGGCTATACCTGCTGATGTTCAGTGGACCATGTGATGCCAGGGATCCAGCCAGGGACAGATACATGCCTTGTTCTCTGTACTGTCTCCCCAACCCCAGAGCCTCGATTTGAATCCACTTCAGTCTGAAAATAAAAGTCACTCCTACCACCAACAGCTTGTGAGTCACCCAATTCAACAGCAGTTTCTAAAATCACACTATATTTTGTGGTTCATATGACCTAGGTCAACGAATTAGTATAATTTGTTGATCTGGATCTTATCAAAAGTCCTGATTTAACTAATTCAATTATTTACCCATAAGATCCTCTTTGTATACTATTTCTCCCCTCTGCTGTCTCTGATGTACATACTTTGAACTCACCTTGAGAATAATCCCTAGAATGAAGCATCCCCTATCAAATTCATTTTTATTTTAGTAGAAGTCAAAATATTTTATTTTAAGTAAATGATATCTCCATTCCTAGAAAGAAAATGGAAGTTGGGAGCTGAGATGGGGAAGGGAGGAGGATAATATAGAAAAAAGAGACCCATCCATACCCTTAGAATTTCAGTGCATGATGTTATTATAAAAGTAACCAGTGTGAAGATTCATCCCATTCACTTTTCATTTGGAACTCACACTGCTTTGAATGACTATTCCCATTTTTAGATATGCATATCAAACCCAAAATTTGCACTATTAAAAAGTGGCTGATCTCCAATCACAAGTCAACTCCACTCTTCAGGTTCTAGATTTAGCACTCAACACCTCTGCAGAGAAACATGTATCCCATCAGCAGTAGTGGGACCACCACAGAGACCAGCCATGCTCTTAGCTTAGGATATATTCTGAGCACCCCTTAGAACATTTAGGAGCTCCTCACTGAACCCCATCATCATCAGCCCCTGAAGTCTCTTCATTCACAAGAATACATTCCTGCTTCTCTCCCCATCTGAATGGGGAGAATTCTGTACCTCAGAGCTTACCATCATCACTAAAATGAAATCATTTTTCACTTTAAAAAAAGTGTAAAAGTAGAAGGGGAACAATTTTATTCCTCACCTTTGTGCCCTCGAACATTACAATGAGTGTGTTCTAATACATTTTGTTGGCGGCTTCCACTAGCAGTAGTGTTACTAAATAGTGCCTACAAAGGGTCAGGTACTATTCTAAGTGTTTTCTGTATGTTAGCTCTCTATACCAGCCCTCAAGATAGATGGGACCAATATGCGTCCCCATTTTACGGAGGAGAAATTAGTACTGCACTGTAGCACTGTCCTCCCTTTGTTCATCGATTTGCTCAAGCAAACACCAGTGACATCTCCATTGTGAGACTTGTGGTTACTGTTTCTGGCATATTGAATATGCCATGGGGAGCTTGCCAGGCTCTGCTGTGCGGGTGGGATACTCTAGGTAGCTTACTGGGTTCTCTGAAAGGGACAGAGGAACCAAATCCGGGTCGGCCACATGCAAGGCAAACACCCTACCCGCTGTGCTAGCGCTCCAGCCCAAGGAGGAGAAATTAAGGTGGAAAATTCAAGGAAACTTACCTAAGGTTCCACAGCTGGTAAGTGGTGGCGATAGATGCAGTCCAGCTCTAAGATGCAACTAAGCAGTTGAGCTCCTGCACAAAGACAAACATGAAAAGTCTTAACAGAAGTTGCCTCTCTGTGTCTTGTTCTTACACCCTCAGATCCACCATGGCACATATGCCAGGAAATGAGAAAACACTCGTGCTCAATATATGAATGAGCTTTCTGACCCAAAATATTCTGCCTAACCCCCAACTTCAATCTGTCCTTTTCCAGACTGTGTAGGTCCTTAATGGACATTGTAGAGACTATTTTCTGGGTCTGCTACTACCACCTAATTCCAAAGACCCAGGTGAATGCTTTAAAAGGTCTTTTACTACTGAGAAATTTAAATTCCTATGTTCTTTAGTCCCCAGAAAGGATTGTAGTCTAATTAAATCCATCTCATTGGTCACTAAGGTACTTCTTGCCTAATTCGAAAAATTTGTTCTCTTGCCTAGAAAAAAATTTTTTTTAATTTTAAGCAACAAAAAAAAATTGCCTGCTGGGAGGCAATAAAACCCTGTTCCAGGAATGGGAAAACACAGAGTAAGGGTTAAACATGTAGGATAAATACAAATAGTGGAATAAGGGAAATCAGGATCATGATGGGAAGTGAGGAAAAACTTCCCTTTTCTAAACACAGTGATCAGAAAGTGTCTCCAAGAAACCAGTAGTCACATCTAGAAAGCTAGGAATCTAACTTTATAAGGGGAAGTATATTCAAATATCTTCATGCTTCATAGTCTCTTCAATAAAGATAGCATAGTTTCTGTAAATTAAACCCAGTAAGATCTGTACCTTATATTCAGAAACTCTTGGTAATTTCATCACTGCAATTATCTTTAACAGAAACTAAAAACAGTATGATTTTGGCTAATTTTCTCTCCAGCCTATGAGTTTATCCATGCATGAAATTTTTCTTTGGGTATCTGACTGATTTACAGAGCAACTGTTTTTTTTCCACCAATATCCTCTCTCTCTGTGTTAAATGACAAGTATATTTTATGAATCCTTGATATGGTCAAGAAATTGTCACTCTCTGGGTCTGGAAAGATATCTTAAAGGGCTAGATCACCAAGCCTGGCAGATGTGAGTTCTCAGATTTAATCCCTAACACTATATGTACCTAGACACTTCTAAATATAATCCTGGTGGGTCCCAGCACTACTAAATACATACAGTACTACATTGCCAGGTCCCAGCATCTAACCATCAAGACTATCATATCAAGGAGTGTCCCCCAGCCTCATGAGCACTACTGGGGAGGCCCAAAATGGATGGATGGATGGATGGTTGGATGGATATGGATGGATGGATGGATGGATGGATGGATGGATGGATGGATGGAATATAGATATTGTGATGCTTGATCCAAATACAAAGAACTGGGAAACGGAGAGATAGAACAGTGATAAGATGCTTGCCTTTCATGCTGCCAACCTGAGCTCAATCCCAAGTATGCCATAGGGTACCCAAAAGTGATCCCTGAGCACAGAACACAGAGTTATCCCTGATTTTAGCCAGCTGTGATCCAAAAACAAGAACAACCACCTCCTCAAGCCATTCTTTCTTAGTGCTATGGCAGATCAGACAATCTCCACTGTCCCATCCGTCTCTATAATTAAATTAATTTCTCCCTGGGAGGGAGAGAGAGAGAGAGAGAGAGAGAGAGAGAGAGAGAGAGAGAGAAGGAAAGTACTTGACATAGAGGCAGATTGGGAGAAGGGAGATGGTGGGAGGGAAACTGGGATCACTGGGAGGGAAACTGGGATCACTGGTGGTGAGAAATAGACACTGGTGAAGGGATGGGTGTTGGATCATTTTATGAATGAAACCTGATCGTGAAAAGCTTTGTAACTTTGTAACTGTGTGTTTCATGGTGACTCAAAGAAAAATTTAATTTCTCCTAGTCAGTCCCTGTGTATGCCTGGGACCATCCCTGCATCTTTTGGGGAGAAGCACTATCCAGTCCACATTGTCAACTTCAATGTTAAACATGTATGTAGTTGAAACCTGTGACATCTTTTCACTAGGATGACTCCCATTAAAATCTTTCCCCAGTTTATACAACCATTCTCTCCCAAAAACAGTCTAGTTTATTTCTCCCTCCCTTTGAATCTGGACTAGGCTGTGATTCCTTTAAATTATGCATTTGGGGGCTAAAGAGATAGTATAACATGTAGGGAACTTGCCTATCTTGAGGCTGACTCTGGGTTCATCCCCGGCACTGCATATGGTCCCTCAAGTACCACCAGAAGTGATCCCTGAGAACAGAGTCAGGAATAATCTCTGAGCACAGTAATCTTTGGATATCCAGGTATGGTCCAAAATCAAACCAAAAATTATGAATTTTGAGAGAAGTAATGGTTGAATGACTTCAAAAGCTGAGTCCTAAAAAGTCTTGCAGTTTCCCTTTGGTTTTCTTAGAAGAGGAATAGAGTAGTTTCTGTGAGGGAATCCAGCTGTCAAATATATAAATCTAAGTACCCGAGACCATCATGTTTTAAGGAATCCCAGGGAAGTCATGTGATGGCAACACACAGGGAGATTTCCAACCAGTCCAGATAACAAAAATATGAGTAAAGAAACCTTTGGGTGACACCAACCTCTGCCTCCATTAAGTTATAGAAGTGATATAAGTGGGTTCAATTCAACCAAACCTATCAGTCCCCTGTAATCAGAGGTGATTAAAAAAAATTGTGCTGAGTTACTAAGGTTGGGAAAGTTTGTTACACAGCAGTAGAAAACCAAATTTTAACTCAATAAATATGTGTTAAGCAGAGTATCTATGTCAGCCTTAGAGACAGTACAGTTAAGCCCTGTATCTCAGCCAGTTTGTATATTTATACATATTCCTGGCAGATGGATGACTTTAAATCAGTATTTATTGTCAAGATGAAAATTGTACTCTTTTGAGTAGTGTGTTATTCCTGCAAAAACATTAAGAATCCTACAATAAATACAACTTTGTCAAATGGTATCATGTCCAAACAGACTTTTCTACATTGGTACATTAGGATTGGCATCTCCCATGTGGCTGGTAGTTTTGTCTTCTTGGCTTCTAACACCACTACACATATTGTTTCATTTATTTTTATGTGATGATGTCTCAACTTGTTCTGAAAAAGGGTTTGAGGAGGTCTATTATGTTA